ATTCGCTTTATTTGTGGTGATCTGGAACCAAACCTGCAGTATCTCTGAGGTATGCGTGTATTCAGGCAAAACACTCAGATTTTAGGTCATCCAGAAAGGGCATGTGTAAGAATGAAAATATCCAGTGCTTCAGTGAGGCAAGCTCTTTCACTCACTAGTTGGTGGGACCATACACCGGCACAATCTTTCTGGAAGCCATTTGATAACAGGTATAGAAAATCTTAAAAGTACGCATCTTTTAACCCAACAATTTTGTGTCTATGAGTTTATTCCAAGAAAATAATCGAGGATGCTTACAAATACTTAATAGTAGTAATAGCAGTAGCAGTAGTAATAACAACAGGTATCATTATTGAACTTGGTGTCAGGCACTACTCTAAGTAAACAGAGATGTGCCCTGCAATGGGACCTGTAAGAATGTATCACTGGAAATACCCAAACATCCAGTAATAGCAGACAGATTGAGGAAACTCTTGTAAATCATCTTAAGGACTAAATCAGTTATTATAAATACATAAATAAGTGTTTACACGTGTAAAGTTATAATGAAAAGTATTATACAATGGTATGTTATGATTTAAATTTATGTATAAAAGAAAATTACTTTAAAACTATAAAAGGATTTATATTTTTTCACGATTCTACATGAACTTGTATTGCTATTACTTATGTACTATAAAACCAATACAATTCTTCGAAATCTAGAGGGTTATTTCTTAAAAAAGATATTTCTAGCAATTTCAAAAATCCTCTAAAATGTCAGCCATATGACCAAGTATATGAAGAGAAGCAAGATGCACTACACGGATTATCCATAATTCTTGATACCAAGTGGTTAATGGTTTAGATGGTGACAGTGGAGAACTAGAAATTTTTTTATGAATCAGAAAGCAACATAGTTTGTATCTCCTCTGCAATCTTTGTGGTTATGCAGTTTATTCCTTTAAGAACAATTAATTTTGGAGGTTCTGGTTTTAGGCAACATCACTGATTCTTCCAACTTGACACTGAATCTCTACTAAGGCACAGAACAGGTACTGAAGGCCATGTTCTCACATGTTAAAACCTATTAAGATGTACTATAATAAACACAGTATGATTCTGGCATAGGAGCTGACCATGGAACAAAACAGTGAGTCCTGAAATAGATTCAAGCATATATGGGCATTTAATATTAGACAAAGGTGGAATTTCAATTTAGTGGAAAAAAGAGAGGACTTTTTTAAATAAATGGAATTGAATACCTGGAACAAAATAGAGTTGGACCCTTACACCACACCATGTACAAAACGAAATCCCAGATCTATAATTTTTTTCTGGAAGAAACTCAAAAACTATAAAGAAAAAGACATATTTCATTACATTCAGTGAAAAAATTTCACATCAAAGAGTATACCATGAACAGAATCAAATGACAAATGACAGCTTGGGAAAAATAGCTGCAACACATAAAGATAAGAGCTCCCCGAAATTCCTAAGAAAAAGGCAAACAATCCACCAGAAAAATGGGCCACTGATAAAAATGAGTAACAGAGGAAGCAATCCAAAAAGCCAGTAAACACACCTAGTTGCTAGTAGTCATGAAAATAAAAAATGAAATAGTAGAAACGAGGTAGCGTTTCTTACTGATAAGAATGGAAAAAATTCACACACTTGGTGTTTCCTTTGGATGGTGGGATTTTAGGTGGTTTCTCATGGATTTCCTTATACTTTTCATTATGGTTTGAATCTGTTTTTACAGTGAGCGCACTTTAATTACATAATAAAAAAGACAGAGCTAATTTTTATTTAAAAAGGAAATTAAAAAAATCAATTGTTGGGGAGTCTTGTTTAAATAAGCATCTCCTGATGCTGCCTCTGCAGCTTCACACTACATTCCCATAAGGAAACAGAAAAATTGAAAACATGTCACATGGAAAGTTAGGTGACTGATGACCTCTTCCCAGAAACTGAAATTCTCACTAGTTTTATGGCCTGTGGAGTTGGTTCGAAGAACATAATCAGTAGATCACATATATCGTGCTCTAGGATGGTCTGCCTGAGAATTTAGAGGGAGGTCATCCCCTACTCACTGCCTTATGGTTAAGAAACGCAAGATCTACACCACAGAGAAGACTGGACAGCTTTCCCTCCAGGGCGCAGGTGATAGTTTTTGAAGCAGCCATCCCTTATCTTTTAGAATCTCTCTTTTCTAGGTAGAAATTGTAATTTCTCACCAGAAAGCAAGCAGAGGTGCTGTAGAGAGGACTGAGAAAGGACGAGTCCTAGTAGGCGTGTATATCTGGAATTCAACCTCTTCTGTAAGAGCTGGGCCCTGGGGTGGGGAGGGACAGGGTGGGCCCCATCTTTGGCTGACAGAGCTGCAATAGGTGAAAGTCTGTGGGACACTGACAATTGTGAAAGAAGTAAACAAAATGTCGATGTAGATTTAAGAAGAGGATTCTACCAGCCAACAAGTGGAAAGAAAGTGAGTTCACGGTACGGTGACTATTGTATCATTTGTTACCCATGCTGGGACACTTTGAGAGTGAAAGGTTTCCTACTAATATTTACAACATACCACAGTCAGAAACCAGGACTGTCCCAACCAAACTGAGAGGTCAAGCCCTGAGTCTGGTCAGCGTCTTGGATAGGTATGAAGAAGAAAGACAAAGTATCAGATCTGCAACAACAAAAAATCTCACTGGTAAGTAGGGAAGGTCAAAAGTAAGGATTTGAATATACAGAAGAACAGATGCATGAAAATAACTCACTATGGCAGACAAAAAACACAGATTCACCCTGCAAAGTTACAAGCTGTCTTGAGAAAGAAAACAGAACGGAGTAAAAGCAGTATTTAAAAAAAACAATTAATAGAAGGAAACTGTTCTAAGATGAAACAGAATTTAGTATTCCACTCCAAAAGTTTTTCTGAGTTCTAGGAAAAGTAAATGAACGAGACCAACACTCAGAAACATCTTGGCAACTGGAAGGGAACTTTTATAATCTGCACATGATATAATCTTTTACCCAGAAAAACTAATAGAATCAACAAATGTGAATCAAGAAACGTTTCATTCTGGATACAGTTAAACCAACATAAGCCAATATTACTTCTCTATACCAACATTGACACATAGAAAATATAATAAAAACACAATAATAAAAGCACAGCAGCTACAAAAACAATAAAATATCTAGGAATTAACTATGACTTCATAAGACCTCTCTAAGTCTAAAGGTCAATAAAATGATTTAAATAAGCCTATTCAATACTCTTAAGATGATTTAATATTATGAAAATGTTAATCCTTTCAAATTAACCTATAAATTCAATGCAATCCTAATAAAAAGTATTGTTGAATTTAATGAACTCAATAAACACAGATTAAAATTTATATTACAGAATAAAGGTCTATGTATAGAATAATCAACCTCAATAAAGAAGAGGAGAGAAGATGGACTTATCCTACCATATACTAAAACATATTACAATAAAAACTATATGGCATTAGTATGAAAAGAGGCAGATACAAAAATGGAACAGAATAGAGCACTCAGAAACAGAATACATATATATGTATATGTATGTATATATATATATATATA